TTCCAGCCTAGGCAACTACTAATCTTTCTGTCTCTATAGATTTGCCTGTTCTGGAGTTTTCATATAAATGGAATCATACAGTATGTGAACTCTGATGTCTGGCTTCTGTCACTTAGCTTAATATTTTCAGGATTCATCCATGTTGCAGTCTGTGTCAGAATTTTCAGGCCTTTTAATGGCTGAATAATTTTCAATTGCATGGATATTTCACATGTTGTTCATCCATTTGTCGGTTGATGGGTTTAGACTTTTTTGGCTGTTTTGCATCACACTGCTGTGCATGTTTATGTACAAGTTTGTGTGAGCATATGTTTTTGTTGTTCTTGTGTAGATACCTAGGAGTGGTATTGCTGGTTTATGTGGTAACTGTGCGTTTAACATTTTGAGGACCTGCCAGACTCTTTTCCCAAGCCGTGGTACCATTTTGTATCTCCAGTAGCAGTAAATGGGTCCATTTTCTCTGCATCCTTGCAAACATTTGTTGCTGTTTGTCTTTGATTATAGCCATTCGAGTGGGTGTAGTAGTATTTCATTGTAGCTTTAATTTTTATTTCCATAATGTCTAAGGATGTTGAATATCTTTTCATGTGCTTGTTGGTTATTTTTATATCTTATTTGGAGAAATATCTATTCAGATCCTTTGCCCATTTTTAAGTTGGATTGTCTTTTTTTTTTATTGAGTTGTAATAGTTCTTTATATATTCCAGTTACAAGTCCCTTATCAGACATAGAGTTTGCAAATATTGTCTCTTTTTCTGTGAATTATCTTTTTACTTTCTTGATGATGTTCTTTGAAGCACAAAAGTTTTAACTTTTGATGTATTCTATTTTTTCTTTGATTGCTTGTGCTTTAGGTGTCATATTTAAGAAACTATTCCCTAATCCAAGGTAATGAAGCTTTACTCCTATTCATATTGAGTTAATTTTTGTGTGTGGTGTAAGGAAGAGGTTCAGCTTTATTCTTTTACATGTGGATATCTAGTTGTTCCAGCACCATTTGTTGAAAAGAATATTCTTTTCTCCAATGAATTGTCTTGATATCCTTATCTAAAATCAGCTGATGAAAAATGTAGGAGTTTATTTCTGGAGTCTTAAATTTATCTCATTGATCTGCATGTCCATCCTTTTGCCAGTACCATGCTATCTTGGTTACTGTAGGGAATTATGAGTGCTCCAACTTTGTTCTTCGTTTTGGCTGTTTTGGGTCCTTTGTATTTCTGTGTGGACTTTAGGGTAAGCTTGTCAATTTCTACACTAAAGGCAGATGGGATTCTGATAGGCATTGCATTGAGTCAGTAGTTCGACTTGATTAGTATTGCAGTCTTAATATTTAAGTCTTCCAGTCTATCAACATGGGATTTTAAAATTTTGTTTAGGTCATCTTTAATTTCTTTCAACAATGTTTTATGGTAGCTGTGTGTTTCTTTTATGTTGTCTTTTATATATGTGTGTTTTAAATGTATGTTTTACATATGTGTTTTATAGTAGCTGTACAGTAGCTATATGTTTTTTACCTTAAGATTTAGTGGCTACCTTCAGATCATCTTGGCAAAAACTCATGAGTGATCACAAAGGAGACTTTTCTTCTGGAGCACACCAGATCTGCTTGTTTCCTGTGATGTTAACAGTGTCTCTTGATCTCAGTACTCATTCCTTTCTGCTTTACCGTCAGTGTGCAGCTGACCCCTAAGGCTGCTTAAGGCACTTTCCACCTTTCCAAGGTAATGTCTTTCTTTCTGTATACCTGATGTTCTATAGAAATCATGGGCAAAGGCACATATTTTATCTGCTAGAGTTTCACAATGTACAGTTTGTCCTGAAAGCTTTCATTAGTCCTGCAGTCAAGAAAACAGTTATAATCCCACAATTCCTAAGGACACTTGAGCACAGAATACTTTCGTATAACCTATCTATTACATTTTGTAAGTCTTAGCATACCAATTTTAGGAAGAATTCCTAGGGAATTCTTAGAGGCAACTCTAGGCTTGCTTATCCAAGTAAATAGCTTCATAATCTTTTCCTCTACTTTTTTTTCCCATTTTTTTCCATAGTACCCCCAAAGGAAAAAAGAACTTATTTCAAATCTTTGTTTTTCATTCTACCTCAGCAACCTCATTTCTTTTTTTTTCTTTCTTTTTTTTTGAGACAGAGTCTCGCTCTGTCACCCAGGCTGGAGTGCAGTGGTGCAATCTGTGCTCACTGCAACCTCTACCTCCCAGGTTCAAGCGATTCTCCTGCCTCAGCCTCCCAAGTATCTGGGACTATAGGTGCGTGCCACCACACCCAGCTAATTTTTTGTATTTTTTTAAAGATGAAGTTTCACCGTGTTAGCCAGGATGGTCTCGATCTCCCGACCTTGTGATCCACCTGCCTTGGCCTCCCAGAGTGCTGGGATTACAGGCGTGAGCCACCGTACCCACCCTTTTTTTTTGTTTTTGGAGACAGAGTCTTGCTCTGTAGCCCAGGCTGAAAGCTGGAGTGCAGTGGCGTGATCTCGGCTTACTGCAACTTCCGCCTCCTGGATTCAAGCGATTCTTCTGTCTCAGCCTCCCGAGTAACTGGGACTACAGGCACTCGCCACCACGCCCGGCTAATTTGTTTTTTGGTTTTTTTTTTTAGTAGAGTTTTACCATATTGGCCAGGCTGGTCTCGAACTCCTGACCTCGTGAGCTGCCCACCTCAGCCTCCCAAAGTGCTGGGATTACAGGCGTGAGCCACCATGCCCCCCATTTCTTATTATTTTGGCTTGACAGTCCCTTCCATAGATAGGCATGTTTATTACAGATAACTATATTCTTAGTATAGGTTTTGTTTGGGGCTAAGCGGGATAATCATTGACTTTTTAGTAATCAAAACATCCTCTGATAATTAAAAAGCAATCACCCAGCAGTACATAGTTTATTCATCATCTCCTTATACCTTTGCTCCCCTGCAAGCCCCTAGTAAAGTGCCATTTTAGTTTTTTGCACATCTGTGTCAGTTCTAGGCTTCAGAACACACTAGTAAGTTATTTCCTCCACACATTCAAAAAGTAGAGTTTTGTCCTAGTAAACTAGCCTTGTTAACCCCAAATTATTTGGGGCTTTAAAATTGTGGAGTCCCTTTATCTTTCTGCTGTTCAATCTTGTCTGCTTTGCTCAGCTTTCTAAGAGATATAGGACACTCTAGCCAACCACATATTCTAAATTCTTGAATAAAATTTAGATCCTGAATCTGTCTCTTTGTTGAGAGGATTGAATAATTTAGAAGGAAACCTCAAGTACTGGTATTTTTTTCTGCCATAAAGCTTACAATAGGGGTTCTCTTCTTTTTTTCACCACTAAGAATTTCTTCTGTTATTTTTTTCTTCCACAGACCATATGTTTGAAAGATTGTCTGCTAACAACCCGAACTTACTAAATAATTTTCCATTTTTTATTTATCATCCATATTTGGGCTGTCATAGCTTTTGTGTTCTTTGAGCACAATTTGAAACCACTGATGTGCTAGAAAGACCATGGACTTTGGCAGTGGACAAACCTGGATTAAAATCCCAGCTTTTGGCTGGGCTGATGGGTCACGCTTGTAATCCCAGCACTTTGGGAGGCCGAGGTGGGTGGATCACTTAGAGGTCTAGAGTTCGACACCAGCCTGGCCAATGGGTGCAACCCGTCTCTACTAAAAATACATAAAGTAGCCGGGCGAAGTGGCCTGCGCCTGTAATCCCAGCTACTTGGGAGGCTGAGGCAGGAGAATTACTTGAACCGGGAGGTGGAGGTTGCAGTGAACCGAGATCGTGCCCTATTGCACTCCAGCCTGGGTGACAGGGTGAGATTCCGTCTCAAAAAAAAAAAAAAAAAAAAAAAAAAAATCCCACCTTTGCTGGTTAGTAATGGTGTGATGCTGAGTACGTTATTTATTGTTGCTTCCAATCTCTTCATCTTTAAAAATAGGGATAATCTCAACTTTGAAGGGTTGTTAGAAAAAAGATTGATGAATGTGGATGCTGTAAGTGTAATTTTAGGCATGTAATTATCACAGGTTAAATTTTACCTATATTTTGTGAAGTGTATTTTAATGTCTGTGATTATATGCTGGTTCCTGGCAAAATAAAGCCTTTTAAACCTCCATAGCTGGGCGTGGTGGCTCACACCTGTAATCCCAGCACTTTGGGAGGCCAAGGCAGGTGGATCACGAGGTCAGGAGATCGAGACCATCCTGGCTAACACGGTGAAAC